CACTCTCCCTGTCTACCTGCAAGGTGATTGATATGGCCAGTCTCTGGGTGGAGACTAAACCTGATTTAAGACAGCCAAGCCTGCAGTCTCATGCCTGTGATAGTGCTGCTGGAAGCTTTGACTAGTTTAGATTCCTGAAATCTCGCGGCGACTAATCTCTGCCTGCCTTTTGGTACCTGGACTGTATCCTGCTTTGTATCTGGACTGTATGGACTCTTACCTTGAACCTTGGCTGCCTTGTACCAAGGAATGGATTGCTTGGAAATGAGGACTTGCCTGTAAAATCCTTTTCTTCGAGTACAGTACAGGACACAGGCTTCCATTAATTATGGGTTATATACTGCCACCTTCAGGTGAGGACGCTGGCATACAAGGTTACTATGATAGTCTATCTCTATTTGCAAACAAAGGGCCAGTTTACTGCCCTTCCGTCATGCTTACCCCAAATGCAGGTGGTCAGACATTATAACTGGCTTCTCTGTTCCTCACCTATAGCATCCCCCTTTCCTATATGGCAAGCAGGACTACCGGTACTTGGTTGCCCCCAGGATGTATACACAATGCTATAGTGCCTGGCCACCACAGTGGGGCAGGAGTGAACGGAGCACCAGAAACAGGTGCTTGCAGTTGGCAGACAGGCAGAGTGGTTCACGGACAGTCCAGGTATAAGACAGCTGAGGTTCAGGATAGTCAAAGTCCGATCTGTAGTCAAAAGGCAGGCAGAATTCAGAGATTAGTCGAAATCCATTCCGAGGTTGTCAATAAGTGAATCCAAACCAGTAGAGCAAGGCAGACAAACAGGGAGCTTGGGCACATGTAACCAGCACTATCACAGACATGAGACTGCAGGTTTGGCTGGCTTAAATCAGGTTTGGTCTCAACCAGAGACTGGCCACATCAATCACCATGCAGGTGGACAGGCAGACAGGGAGAGTGCATCCAGAGACAAAACCACGATGCTGGAATGAAACCAGCAGCTGTCATGGATCAGGAGTGCTAGATGCTCCTGACACCTTCAGACTTTAGTAGGGGCAGATTGTGTCCAGAGGAAGTAGAAAATGCTCCAGTGTCAGTAAACAATGTCCCATCATTGGTATAAGTGGGAGAAATAGTTCCCCATTGATTGTGTCAGTGAGAGGTATGGTGCCCCATCATTATTGTGAGTTGAAGGAATGCAGCCTGTTAATAGTGTCAGTGGAAGAAATAGTCCCCCATCACTGGTATCAATGGGAGGAATAATTCCCCATTGATGGTGTCAGTGGGAGGTATGGTGCCCGATCATTTATGTCAGTTGGAAGAATGCTGCCCCATTGATAGTGTCGGTGAGAGGAATGGTGCCCTATCATTTTGTAAAGAGCTGGCGCTCTATAAATCCTGTATAATAATAATCATTGGTGTCAGTGGAAGGAAGGGTGCCCCATTAATGGTATCAATGAGGGGAATGGTACCCCATTATTGGTGTCAGTTGGAGGAATAGTGCCCCATGATTGATATCAATAAATCCCCATTGATGGTGTCAGTGGGAAAAAGTGCCCCATCATTGGTATTTAGAGTTCATACACAGTAGGTGTCCACTTAATGGTGATCGGTGGAGGTTGCTTCTATCTCCCTTTTTGATGGTGGGCTCTAGGTGAGCCCCCCCCCCCCCTTCATTTTTGTACAAATCCAGCTACATAAAGGCATGGTTTGCTTATTTTAGTTTGAGGAACTAGAGTGTTCTGCAGAGAGCCCTGACCTCAGCCCTAATGGACACCTTTGGGACGAACTGGAACACTGATGGTGAGCCAAGTCCTCTCATCCAACATCAGTACCTGACCTCACAAATGGGCACACTTTCCCACAGAAACCCTCCAAAATCTTACAGGTGGTCTTAGGACTGTGGAGGATATTATATAGCCACAAAAAAGAGAAGGTTTAGGGACTAACTCTATATTAAGGCCCATGGTGTTGGAATGGGATGTCCATCAAACTCACATAGATGTGATGGTCAGGTCACAAACCTTTGGCCATATAGTGAATTTTGGTCTGAAGTCAAGACTCTGTAGACCAAATATGTATAAATTCTCCAAGTCTCTGGAAGTATGGACTTTACACATACTTGCTGTATGTACTCTATTATCATTCAGCCAATGGGATTGGTTTACAAGAGGCAAACAGACTGTGCACTTTACAAGTAGACTTGCACTCTTTAATGGAATCTGCTCCAGAGCTTAGTAAATGAGGGAAGCTCTGCTGACTTCCATCATCCAATCATGTACAGGGAACTTTTCTGTGTTTTTTTTTTTTTGTTTTGGTTCCTTGCATATGATTGGGTATTCTTAGTCAATGGGGTAAAGCTTCACTTTGCAAAGACCTGGAGCAAATTCCCTTGCAGGGTCCAACTCCACGTACAAAGTGCACAGTCTATTTTCCTTTAGTAAATGAACCCCATGGTCTCCTTCCATGGCCATTCCAGTGTGGGACTCTTATGAAGTCCTCGTGTATTGGCTTTTTTGGCATATTTATACTGGTGGATGGAGGTACTGGACTACAGTTGTGTTCAAAATAATCGCAGTGTGTTTGAAAAAAGTGACTAAAGCTGAAAATCCTTCTAATAGCTTTTATTTCCATCCACACAAATGCATTGGGAACACGACACATTCTATTCCAAATCACAACATGAAGAAAAATACATCAAATTTGTGTTGTTCCTCTAAAAAAATTGAAGAAAAGTGAATATTAGACGGTTCAAAAAAAATCGCAGTGTTTGTATTCTTCTTTACAAACTCAAACATTCACTATATAAACTGAGAAATGTTTGAAGATTTTGCTTTCCTTTGAATGACTTCATGAATATTTGGTTGTAGTCGCACTGTTTCTGAGAACTGCTGTACATCTGTGTTGCATGGAGTCCCCCAACTTCTGGCCCCTGTGATCAGGTATTCCAGCCCAGGATGATTGGACCACATTCCACAGTTCTTCTCTATTTCTTGGTTTTGCCTCAGAAACAGCATTTTTGATGTCACCCCACAAGTTTTCTATTGGATGAAGATCCGGGATTGGGCTGGCCACTCCATAACGTCCATCTTGTTGGTCTGGAACCAAGATGTTGCACGTTTACTGGTGTGTTTGGGGTCGTTGTCTTGTTGGAACACCCATTTCAAGGGCATTTCCTCTTCAGCATAAGGCAGCATGACCTCTTCAAGTATTCTGATGGATTCAAACTGATCCATGATCCCTGGTATGCGATAAATAGGCCCAACACCGTAGTATGAGAAACATCCTCGTATCATGATGCTTGCACCACCATGCTTCACGGTCTTCACAGTGTACTGTGGCTTGAATTCAGTGTTTGGGGGTCGTCTGACAAACTGTCTCCGCCCACTAGACCCAAAAAGAACAATCTTACTTTCATCAGTCCACAAAATGTTGCGCCATTTCTCTTTAGGCGGTCAATGTGCTCTTTGGCAGATTGTATCCTCTTCAGCACACGTCTTTTTTCCCAACAGTGGGACTTTGCGGGGACTTCTTGCAGATAGCTTGGCTTCACATCGGCGTCTTCTAATTGTAACAGTCCTCACAGGGAACGTCACACCTTCTTTCATCTTCCTGGAGCTGATTGTTGGCTGAGTCCGCCCATTTTGGCTATTCTTCTATCCATTCCAATGGTAGTTTTTCGCTTTCTTCCGTGTCTTTCAGGTTTTGGTTGCCATTTTAAAGCATTTGCCATCATTATAGCTGAGCAGCCGATCATTTTTCTGCACTTCTTTATATGTTTTCCCCTCTCCAATCAACATTTTAATCAAGGTACGCTGTTCTTCTGAACAATGTCTGGAACGACCCATTTTCCTCAGAATTTCAGAGAGAAATGCTCTGTAACCAGCATGTACAACATTTGCTGCCTTCCTTCCTTAAATAAGGGCAATAATTGCCACCTGTTTTTCAAAGAATGAATGACCTCACTAATAGAACTCCACACTGCTATTATTTTGAACACGCCCCTTTCAATGAGTGATTCACTGACACAGAATCAGCAGCATGCATGTCATGACTGTCGGGTCTGATGGAATTTCTATGACTCTACTACACCTGCTAGGAAATTATTTGCCATGTAGAAGTATATTTCCACCAAAAACAGAGATTGATCCGGTTAGTGATGTCTGACGGCTATTATTTTGAACACAACTGTATATGTTCATGTTTTCAATAAATATATTTATGCTTTAGCAAACATATATTGAAGTGCACATATCTTCCATGTAAAGGACAATTTTGTGTTTTTTTTGTTGATCATTGCAAACATCCCACTTCATCAAAAAACTAACTAAAAAAGCCATCAGTATCCATGAGGCCTTAAGCTGATTTTTTAAAAGTCCCCCAGAACCCTACTGCTGGCAGCAGCGTTTTGGCCAAAAAAAAACCGCATGAAGCCTGTAAAAGTGTGTACCGCGTTTACCTGAGTCAAGAGTTTGGGTGTTAATTTCATTGGCCAGAATAAATCATTTATTTTGGCCATTGATATACATTAATGCTGGAGCGCTAAACGCGCCTAGCATTTAGGCGTGTTTAAATTGCGTTTTGGTATATCAAGCGTTTTTTTTTCTGCTCCAGGACGTACAGCCCGCACGGGAACTGCAGGTGCAGTGTGGTTCCCAGTGCGAGTGTGATTTCCAGTGTGTGCGGCATACCATTAGGGTTAATGGAACTCGCATGCATTCAGTGTTTTTCTGTGTGGGCGGTTGCAGCTGCGGGAACAGGTGCGGACCTGCAGCAGGAACCACCTGCACAGATGTGAACCTAGCTTGAGTCCCATAGAGAGTTGTTTTCCATCAGTGTTAGAATTTATAGAGCAGAGCAGTATAACACAGTCACTGTGTAGCACTGCTAAGCATGTACAGCGGGGTTGCTCAACCAGGGATCTAAGTACCCTAGGGTTCATCTAGAGGTTGCTGGGGGTTCCTTCAGCAATTTCTGCCTCTCAGATTAGTTCCCACTAATCCATTGATCTTTTTAGCTCTCTGTAAGGGGGTAATTCTTCCAAATAATGACAGGTGTAAGGAGAATTCTTCCCATTGACCCCCAAGGTAAGGAGTGTTCTCGCCGCTGACCCCCAATGTAAGGGGCATTCTTTCCACTGACCACCGTTGTAAGCGGCACTCTCCCAGCTGGCCTCCAATGTAAGGGGTGTTCTCCCCACTGACCCCCAATGTAAGTGGTGTTCTTGCCGCTGACCCCCAATGTAAGGGGCATTCGTTCCACTGACCACCAATGTAAGGGGCACTCTCCCAGCTGGCCTCCAATGTAAGGGACATTCTTCCCACTGATCACCAATGTAAGGAGTATTCTTCCCACTGATCACCAATGTAAGGAGCATTGTAAGGGACATTCTTCCCACTGATCACCAATGTAAGGAGACATTCTTCTCACTGATCACCAAATGTAAGGGGCATTCTTCCCACTGACCCCCAATGTAAGGAGCATTCTTCCCACTGACCACCAATGTAAGGGGACATTCTTCCCACTGACCACCAATGTAAGGGCTTTCTTCCCTCTGACCCGAAATGTAAGGGACATTCTTCCCACTGACCACCAATGTAATGGGCATTCTTCCCACTGACCACCAATGTAAGGGACATTCTTCCCACTGACCACCAATGTAAGGAGCATTCTTCCCACTGATCACCAATGTAAGGGACATTCTTCCCACTGACCCCCAATGTAAGGAGCATTCTTCCCACTGATCACCAATGTATGGGACATTCTTCCCGCTGACCACCAATGTAAGGAGCTTTCTTCCCTCTGACCCGAAATGTAAGGGACATTCTTCCTACTGACCCCCAATGTAAGGGACATTCTTCTCACCGACCACCAATGTAAAGGGACATTCTTCCACCGACCACCAATGTAAGGGGCATTCTTCCCACCGACCACCAATGTAAGGGGCATTCTTCCCACCGACCACCAATGTAAGGAGCATTCTTCCCACCGACCACCAATGTAAGGAACATTTCTTCCCACCGATCACCAATGTAAGGGACATTCTTCCCACTGACCTCCAATGTAAGGAACATTCTTCCCACTGATCACTGATCCCCAATGTAAGGGCATTCTTCCCACTAATCCCAATGTATGACCACCCAATGTAAGGAGCTTTCTTCCCTCTGACCCCCAATGTAAGGGGCATTCTTCCCTCTGACCCCAATGTAAGGGCATTCTTCCCACTGACCTCCAATGTAAGGACATTCTTCTCACTGATCCCCAATGTAAGGGACATTCTTCCCACTGACCACCAATGTAAGGAGCTTTCTTCCCTCTGACCCCCAATGTAAGGGGCATTCTTCCCTCTGACCCCCAATGTAAGGGGCATTCTTCCCACTGACCACCAATGTAAGGGACATTCTTCCCTCTGACCACCAATGTAAGGGGCATTCTTCCCACTGACCACCAATGTAAGGGACATTCTTCCCTCTGACCCCCAATGTAAGGGACATTCTTCCACTGACCATCACACTAATGTATCATTTGTTGTAGATATAGTCATTTTTAACAGGGGTTCCTTGAGACCAGAAAGTTATTTCAAGGGTTCCTCCATGTTGTAAAGGTTGAGAAAGGCTGAAAATAGAATTATAAAGTATGCGAAGCAACAAGGTTTTTTTTTTTTTTTTTTTTTTTTTTAATAACATCAACATTTATTAAATTTATTTACATTAATCTAACCACATTCTTATGTGTAACTAAAAGTTCAAACACAAGTTTCCTTCTAACAACAGAGCGATGGCAAGCTCTGGGGATCAACAAAAGTATTTAAAAGTCTCTACAACAAAGTCTGGATCACTCACCATGAAAACAGAGCGAATCCTTAGTGCATCTGATGAAATAGGGGACGGGTTAGAGGGAAAACCATCTTCTCCAGTCTGAACAGGAATCGGTAAGATAGGTAGAACGTGTGTATGGTGGCTTAAGTGACTGACCCCCCCTCCCCCTTCCTGGCCCCTTGATTAGTGCAAAATCGGCCCCTAACACCCCCCCTCCCCCCATGATATCAAAGAGGATCATGATAAGAAGATCCAAATTCAAATGGCAGAAGACGGATCACTGGATCATCTTAAGGTACCGTAACAAACGTCCTTCCAAACTGAGGTGTCCCAGAGGGTCCATGGAGTACTATGGAGAGCCGTAGAAAAATGAGCGCCATAAAACTTGAAAGCGTCCGGCATCCGCGGCTTGGTACTGGCAATGGACTAAAAATATTAAACAATAGTTGCAAATGAAACAGATTAATGACTGGTATCATCTCTGAATCCACTTTCGGCATCCAAGCCTTGATGAAGGGGGAGTAACGTGTTCGTTTTTTCAACAACTTGATGTGAAAAATAAAGTTTTCCTGGACTCACGTACGTTACATAGTTGGTAAGGTTGAATAAAGACACCAGTCCATCCAGTTCACCCTGTGTGGGTGGGTGTGTGTTTAGGTCAATACCATCTTCCCATATCCCTGTATGTTGCATTCGCTAAGATGCCCATCTAAGAGTTTTTTTTTTTTTAAACTATCAACACTCCCCACTGACACCACTGATTGTGGAAGGGAGCTAAACATCCTTACTGCTCTGACAGTAAAGAAGCCCCTACATAGTTTAACCACTTAACATCCACACCATAGCAGTTTTACTGCTACAGGGTGGCATTCCTGTGCAAAAACACATACATACATATACATACACAGTATCTCCCAGAAGTGAGTCCACCCCTCACATTTGTGTCAATATTTGATTCTCTCTTTTCATGTGACAACACTGAAGAAATGATACTTTGCTACAATGTGACGTAGTCAGTGTACAGCTTGTATAACAGTGTAAATTTGCTGTCCCCTCAAAATAACTCAACACACCGCCATTAATGTCTAAACCGCCGGCAACAAAAGTGAGTCCACCCCTAAGTGATAAGGTCCAAATTGGGCCCAATTAGCCATTTTCCCTCCCCGGTGTCATGTGACTCATTAGTGTTACAAGGTCTCAGGTGTGAATGGGGAGCTGGTGGGTTACATTTGGTGTTATCGCTCTCACTCTCTCATACTGGTCACTGGAGGTTCAACATGGCACCTCATGGCATAGAACTCTGAGTATCTGAAAAAAAAAAAAAGATTTGTTGCTCTACATAAAGATGGCCGAGGCTATAGGAAGATTGCCAAGACCCTGAAACTGAGCTGCAGCACGGTGGCCAAGACCATACAGCAGGTGTAACAGGACAGGTTCCACTCAGAACAGGCCTCGCCATGGTCCACCAAAGAGTTGAGTGCACGTGCTCAGCGTCATATCCAGAGGTTGTCTTTGGGAAATAGAAGTATGAGTGCTGCCAGCATTGCTGCAGAGGTTGGAGGGGTGGGGGGTCAGCCTGTCAGTGGTGCAGCATTGCTGCAGAGGGTGAGAGGGTGAAGGGGTGGGGGGGGTCAGCCTGTCAGTGCTCAGACCATACGCCGCACACTGCATCAAATTGATCTGCATGGCTGTCATCCCAGAAGGAAGCCTCTTCTAAAGATGATGCACAAGAAATCCCGCAAACAGTTTGCTGAAGACAAGCAGACTAAGGACATGGATTACTGGAACCGTCTCCTGTGATCTGATGACACCAAGATCAACTGATTGGGTTCAGATGGTGTCAAGCGTGTGTGGGCGGCAACCAGGTGAGGAGTACAAAGACAAGTATATCTTGCCTACAGTCAAGCATGGTGGTGGGAGTGTCATGGTCTGGGGCTGCATGAGTGCTGCCGGCACTGGGGGGCTACAGTTCATTGAGGGAACCATGAATGCCAACATGTACTGTGACATACTGAAGCAGAACATGATCCCCTCCCCTCAGAGACTGGGCCACAGGGCAGTATTCCAACCTAACGACCCCAAACACACCTCCAAGACCACCACTGCCTTGCTAAACAAGCTGAGGGTAAAGGTGATGGACTGGCCAAGCATGTCTCCAGACCTAAACCCTATTGAGCATCTGTGGGGCATCCTCAAACGGAAGGTGGAGGAGCGCAAGGTCTCTAACATCCACCAGCTCCGTGATGTCGTCATGGAGGAGTGGAAGAGGACTCCAGTGGCAACCTGTGAAGCTCTGGTGACCTCCATGCCCAAGAGGGTTAAGGCAGTGCTGGAAAATAATGGCGGCCACACAAAATATTGACCCTTTGGGCCCAATTTGGACTTTGTCACTTAGGGGTGGACTCACTTTTGTTGCCAGCGGTTTAGACATTAATGGCGGTGTGTTGAATTATTTTGAGGGGGACAGCAAATTTCCATGTTATACAAGCTGTACACTGACTACGTCACATTGTAGCAAAGTGTCATTTCTTCAGTGTTGTCACATGAAAAGGAGAGAATCAAATATTTACACAAATGTGAGGGGGTGACTCACTTCTGGGAGATACTGTACATGTGCTTTTACACTTCCGCCACACGGGAGCACGTGCGCCACCACCGCCGGATCACAGCACAAACCGATCCACAAGTCCCGACGAGCAGTTGCTCTCCTGCACCTGCAAATAGTCGGTCAGGGAGGAAGAACAGAGCTCTGCCTTGGTTTACATAGATGCAGTTCTGTTGTGACGGGGGGAGTCATGGATCGTGCGTCTCTGCAGTGCTGAGAACACGATCCATCACTTCCCACAGTAAAAGCACCACACATAGCCAGGCACACACTGAACCCTTTGATCACGTTAGATGTTAACCCCTTCCCAACCAGTGTCAATAGTACAGTAATTAGTGTATATTTTTAGCACTGATCACTGTATTAGTGCCACTGGTTCCCACAAAGTGTCAGTCAGTGTAAAAATGTCCGCCACTATCACAGTCCCGCTATAGGTCGCTGATTGCCGCCATTACTAGTATAAAAAAATAAATAAATAAAAAAATTTTCCAGTATAGGTACCATCGTTTGTAGACGCTATAACTTTTGCGCAAACTGTTATGCAATTATTGGGATTTTTTTTAACAAAAATATGGAGCACAATACATTTGGCCTTAATTTACAAGGAAATTTGGTTTTTACATTTTTTTTTTTACTGGATATGTTCTATAGTAGAAAATTATTTTTTTTTTTTCTTCTTCAAAATTGTTAGTTTTTTTTTTGTTTATAGCGCAAAAAGTAAAAACCGCAGAAGTGATCAAATACCACCGAAAGAAAGTTCCATTTGCGGGGAAAAAAAAAAAGGACATAAATGTCATTTGGGTGCAGCGCTGCATGACTGCGCAATTGTCAGTTAAAGTAAATGCAGTGCCGTATCACAAAACATGGCCTTGTCAGGAAGGGGGGGGGGGGGGGTAAATCATTTGGAGGGCAAGTTGCTAAAAAGTTAAACCACTTCTCCTCTAATTTTATGGACTGGCTGTGCGCATTCTTACATTTTGTGGAGCTCTCATCTATTGTTTTCCCTTGTAATATGAAGATGATGAGAAGGGGAGGTGTTCTATAGTCCAGCAGGTTTTTTTTTTGCATGCGATTACTACCGGTGGTTATAGCTGCCAGCAGTAATCATTGTGTTCTGCTGGCCTGAAAGACTTCCCGTGCTGGTTGAACACAACAGTGCTGGGGGAGGGATTCCCCCCCCCATCAACACTGACTGAGCGACTTTCTTTCCTGTAAACCGTGGTTGGGGGGTAAAAATAGGCAGCTGAGACGCTGTTTTTCAGCCCCCCCAATGAAATGCTGACAGGGCTGCACACATGCTGCTGTAATTTTAACACGGGCTGCAAAGTTTGACAGGTGGTGCCACCTATTGAACTTGCCCACCAGGGGCAGACTAACAACTCATGGGGCCCCCGAGCAATAGGGGATCATGGGGCCTCTGTGTGCTCACCCACACTCAAACCACACCCAAAAAAGCCAATGAAAGGTACCAGGGGCATCTCACGGGACCCCCTACTGACCCTGGGCCCTCGGGCAGTGCCCGAGTTTCCTGAATGGTCAGTCCGCCCTGTTGCCCACTGAGATCAATAGGGCCACACTGCAACTTTGAGCCAAAATATTTTTTTTGTAAGGGAAACAAAAACAGGCAACAAGAGGCGGCAGTTGTACCTGTCAACCGCTAATATACCGCCCTTTGAAATACGGTCAATACAATCCGCCATGGATCGCTTTTCAGAGGGCGGTACACATTACTGCCAGTATGAGCCCCGGTTCACATCTATGCGGCCGTGTGGGCCGCGTTTTACATGGGCACGAGAGCCCAATAATGTGAATGGACTCCCGTGGCCGTGACACGTAGGGAAGAAGTCCCGGCACTTCTGTGGAAAACACAGCCGAGGTTCCCAGTACAGTTGTGTTTCCCAGCGCTGGTGGCGTGCAATTAGAACTAATGGCACCCGCCCACGGGTCCTCATTCTGGGTGCACGGATTTTCGTATGGATCCGCAGCGGCACCACCCGCACAGATGTGAACCAAGCCTGAAAGAGTGCTGAAACACACAAATGCCGACATATAGCTGCTATTGAATTTGCACCGGAACCCGCCCATCCCCCGCCCCACCAGCGCTCTGCATCACCTGTTTTTTGTTTTCAGATTTCTCCTTCATGAACTAAACTAACGGCCAGCCATCACTGGGATCCGTCTCTTATGCAGGCCATACATGGTTCGAATTCCAAATGATTTTTCGTCCGAAAATCGAAAACGTTGTTCACTCGGTAATCAGATGGTTCCATTGATGATTTCGAAAATCGGCCGACCGAGTCATAAAGTTCCCCCCATATAACAGGCGAAACTTCTGTTCCTCCCAGGTCACGGCTCATATTCTTTTTGGAAAAACGATCGTACGATTTGACCATCGTTGAGTCGAAAATCGGTCGTTTTTCATGAATTTTCCAACATGCCCGACCACCGAAAAGGGGAGGAACCACAAAAATCGGTCGGTACCATTGACCCCACTAACAGAGCGAAAATCGGCCTATTATTCTTGGGTCCGATTTTCGGATGAAAAATCGGTCGAATTTCGACCCATATGGACGGCTTTAGGTCAAATGTTCACATTAAACAATCAGACTAAAGGAAAAACTTTGGACGGACAGTGGATGTATCCAATCAGACAGGCAGGAGGGAATTGCCCATCAACACCATTAGCATGGATGGAGGAATCTTTGAGATATCTTTCCCTTGGCCCCCAGACTGAAGGAGAAATACTGAATATAACAAAGCACCGTGGCCCTTCCCCCAGCACCACCATTACTAAAGAGGAATGAAGTTAAAGCTCAACTCTGGGCAATTCCCCCCCCCCCCCATGCAGTGGGGCTGTACCCGTATTGCATGGGGTAACTGCTAATTTTGTCAAGGGGTTAACACAGCACCTATACTCATCCGATCCTTCGTTCCCGCGGAAAACGACATTCCCCCCCACACATCAACAATGGACCATTCCTGAAGTCTTTACATCCAGAGCCGGTCTATGGGCATGATGATGTCAGGAACAGTCCACTGCACAAGACTGCTGAACCGTGGGGGTGGGGGGCAGGCAGGGACTGATCTTGTGCTAAGAGGGATCAGAGGGTTAAGCGAGTATATCTTTGATCTCCAAACCCCTAGAACAAAACGAGCAGTTAACCCATACAGTGTGGGTACAGCCCCACTGCACGGATAAAAAAAATTTGCCTGGAGTTCTGCTTTAAGTTACTCTTTAGGGTAACCCCCGATACAAACAGGCTGCACTCTCTCAGTTTTGTTCTCAATATCCAACAGGCTTTACTGCAAGTATTGCAAACTCCCAAAGGCTGTAGGACAACGCTCACCTCCAGACCTCCCATTCTCTCCAACAGGGGCTTCAGACTATCATGATCACTGCTGCCAGACCTGTACACCTTGGTAACTGATCTGTGGCTGCTGCCCCTCTTTGCCAATCCGTTCACAGGCTTCCACTAGCCCAGGGCTTGAAATTTCCACTCGCCTGCTTGCCAATGGCGAGTGGAAATTATGGTGGGGGCGAGTGTCCCCCCCAGGGCCGTCTTGTTGAGCAGGCTTGGAGCTCAGGCCGGATCTGTCATTGGCAGTGGGAGCCGTCAGACTGCTCAATAGCCGAGCGCAGTGAAAGCAAAGCAAGGAGTGTGTGCTGTGCTCTCTGCCTCCCCCTAGAGTGCAGTACCCGGCTCTGTGAGTGAACAACGAAGTACTGCAACTTTTTATAGGGGGGGGGGGGTTGTGTGTGTGTACGTGTGTGTGTGTGTTTGTGTGTGTCTGTGTATGCATGTACATGTGTCTGTGTGTACGTACATGTGTGTGTGTACATGTCTGTGTCTGTACGTACATGTGTCTGTGTATGTATGTACATGTGTCTGTGTGTATGTACCTGTGTCTGTGCGTATGTACTGTGTATGTACATGTATCTGTGTGTATGTACATGCCTGTGTGTGTATACATGTGTCCTGTGCGTGTGTGTATACATGTTTCTGTGTGTGTGTGTGTGTGTACATGTCTGTGTGTATGTACTGCTGTGCATGTGTGTGTGTACAGGTGTTTTTGTGTGTGTGTGTGTGTGTGTATGTATGTACATGTCTGTGTGTGTGTGTGTACAGGTGTCTCTGTGTGTTTGTTGGTGGCGACTAACTCTAAGCCCTGACTAGCCCATTGTATAAAATTTACCAACCACAACACTTCCCCCAGGAACATCATGAACCTCATCTACAGATATCACCCAAACCGTCCTCTCTGCTCCTCCCAAAACATCTTGCCCTCTAGCGCCCTTGTTACTTCCTCCCATGCTCGCCTCCAGGACTTCTCCATAACCTCTCCCATCTTTTAGAGCTCCCTACCCCAGTATGTTAGGTTAGCTCCTAGCCTTTAGGCGATCCTTGAAAATTCATTCGGAGCTGGTTCACGCTATTGCAGGTCGTGTGGCCCGTGTTTGCTTGGGGCACAAGAGCTGCTGTGCCCGCGTTTCCGCACAAAAAAGGTGCATGCACCTTTTTGAAAACAAAAGACAGTTCGCAACTGCGCTGCGAGCTGAGATGCATTGGGGTGCCTTTCAGAATGAATGGCAGCCCCATGCGTCTCGTAAGAGGAGGGCAATTTGGCTGAGGGTGGTTGTGGGAACAGATGCCAATCCCCTCACCCGCAACCAGCCCGAATGGTGTGACCCAAGGGTCATTCAGGGATGCCTACCTCACCTCCACCTAAAAAAAAAAACTGTACTTCAGGCACCTCCATCAGATCATCCCCTGCAGCTACTACCTTCTGTACCACCTCCCCTCCCCCTCCCTTTAGAGTGTAAGCTCCATAAGCAGGCCCACCTCAGTGCAGGCTATCCCCTCTTCAGTCTATCATGAATGCTGCTGCCAGACTCATCCACCTTACTAACCATTCCATATCTGCCACCCCTCTCTGCCAATCCCTTCACTGGCCTCCATTTAGTGTCCTCCATCCCTCTCTGCCAATCCCTCCACTGGCCTCCACTCAGTGTCCTCCATCCCTCTCTGCCAATCCCTCCACTTGCCTCCACTCAGTGTCCTCCACCCCTCTCTGCCAATCCCTCCACTGGCCTCCACTCAGTGTCCTCCATCCCTCTCTGCCAATCCCTGCACTGACCTCCACTCAGTGTCTTCCATCCCTCTCTGCCAATCCCTCCACTGGCCTCCACTCAGTGTCCTCCACCCCTCTCTGCCAATCCCTCCACTGGCCTCCACTCAGTGTCCTCCACCCCTCTCTGCCAATCCCTCCACTGGCATTTACTCAGTGTCCTCCACCCCTCTCTGCCAATCCCTTCCACAGGCCTCCACTCAGTGTCCTCCTCCCCTCTCTGCCAATCCCTCTACTGACCTCCACCCCTCTCTGCCAATCCCTCCACTGACCTCCACTCAGTGTCCTCCACCCCCCTCTGCCAATCCCTCCACTGACCTCCACTCAGTGTCCTCCACCCCTCTCTGCCAATCCCTCCACTGGCTTCCCATTGCCCAACGGATAAAATTCAAAACATTAACAATAACATATAAAGCCATTTATAACTCCGCCCCAAATTACATCAAATCTTGTCTCCAAATATCACCCAAACCGTCCTCTCCGCTCCTCGCACGACCTCCTGCTCTCTAGCTCCTTCATCTCCTCCTCCCATGCTCATCTCCAGGACTTCTCCAGAGCTTCCCCAATCCTCTGGAACTCTCTACCCCAATCTATCAGACTATTGCCTACTCTGCTCACTTTTAAGCGATCTCTGAAAACCTATCTCTTCAGGGAAGCCTATCCTGCCCTCAGCTAATGATGGAATCTTCTATTCCTCCTACCATTCCAACCCCCACAGTTACTACCTTTTGTACCACTAACCCCTCCCTCCTAGATTGTAAGCTCCCAGGATCAGGGACCTCCTATCCCTCTTGTATTGATCTGTATTGTCTCCCGTTATATTGTAAAGCGCTGAGCAAACTGTTGGCGCTATATAAGTCCTGTATAATAATAATTGTAAGCTCCATAAGCAGGGCCCTCCTATTCCTTCTTTATTGAACTGTATTGTAGCTGGACTGTACCCCCCCCCCCCTTTATATTGTAAAGCGCTGCGTAAACTGTTGGCGCTTTATAAATCCTGATTAACAATAATTGGGCTTAGTGGAGAGATAGACCTCTAAGGAGTAAGGAATAGTCTGGAGGTGGACAGTGTGCTTTGTGAGTTGGCACTACTTGCAATAAAGCTTGTTGCATGCTAAGAACAAAACAGCAAAAGTGCAGCCTGTCTTTTATCTGGATCCCCGTAGGTATTCACCAGTGGCCAATGGATGATCTGCAAGACCACTTGGAACAACCATATCTTCATGTATGAGTACCAAGGTAAACCCTTGTTGGATTTTTTTTGGCCATCTTTGTCCAACTGGGAAGACTTTCCGTTCACTTCCTGATCTGGAGAAAACTAAACAAAAACTAAACAAATGTTGGATCTCCTGGTCTCTTCCAGTCCAGTGACAAATAAAGATAATCTCAACAGTGGACACAAAGACAGCAATAAAAAACCCATCACCACTGTATCCAAAAGAAAAAGTATTGGCTTAGATCAGTGGTTCTCAACCTTCCTAATGCTGCGACCCTTTCATACAGTTCCTCATGTTGTGGTGTGACCCCCAACCATAAAATTATTTACCCAGTAATTATAATTCATGAAGTGTCGTTTTACCTCCAATACTGCTGCTTTCTACACAGTAGCTGCTTTCTACACAGTAGCTGCTTTCTACACAGTAGCTCTCTTTACACATTGGAAATGTGTTTTCCGATGGTCTTAGGTGAACCCTGTGGAAGGGTCGTTCGACCCCCAAAGGGATTGCGACCCATAGGTTGAGAACCACTGGCTTAGATATACTTTAAAATGTGACCCTGGATGTTTTTTTCTGATACCCCCCCCCCCCCCCTCCATAAATGATTTATTACCTGTTGGTCCTGCCAGTAGATGTGTTATTTTCCACCTTCTATAACAGACCAAGCTGACCGACAACACCATGGGTGCTCACAATAGTCAGCTTTTATTCCTTTGGTTTAAACCCTTTGTTTTCCAAAAGAAAACACTGGTAAAGGCTTAAAATGTGTTGGGCTTTAATATGCTGCTACATTTATTATTACATGTCACACCTATGACTATCCTGTCCACAGGGTGACAACACTGCAGCACTATTTCACTTCTGAACGAACAGAAAGTGTAAAAAATAGCAGATCAGGCGGGATAAACAGGTAGTAAAACAAATATTTTTATATTCTTTTATTCTTCTAAAACAAGAACTGCCATCTTGATGCTGATGACTGCCCATTGTTGTACTTTAAGGCCATAATGCTTTGCTTAAATAACCATCAAGTGCGCAAACACTCAATGACCACTAATGGTGCTATACTACAGAAAGGAAGGTTGGGAACTGATCGTAAACCATTTTGAGGTTTATTAAAGGATAAGCGCACTTTAAGACAGAGCATTTGATGCTTTTTGCCCAATGTCCCCTGCCCCAACCTAACCCAGCTTACCCCTCTCCAGATGTATACTAATCTTGATCTGATGCCTCTGGCCTCCAATGTTTATTTACAACTAGTTCCACAAGTTTCATTTTCCTGGCCATGCCTGTGCATTACAGCCCTATAGATGTCTATGGAGCTTTCTCTGAACTCGGGACACAGCCCCATAAACATTTAATGGACTGTCTCCAATCATCTCCAGCCTTGAGATACAGCTCCATGGACTTCCAATGAACGGTCTACGACCTCAGGACCAAACCCATAGACTTCTAGTGGACAGCCTCTATTCGTTTCCAGCCTTGGAACACAGTCCCTTAGACTTCTAATGGACTCTCTCCAGCCTCAGGACACAGTCCCAAAGACTTCTAATGGACTCTTACCAGCCTCAGGACACAGTCCCATAGACATCTAATGGACTCTTTCCAGCCTCAGGACACAGTCCCATAGACCTCTAATGGATCATCTCTGATCATCTCCAGCTTCGAGACACAATGCCATAGACACTCGAATCATATCCGACCCTCGGACTCAGTCTGTCTCCAATCATCGATCCGAATGGGCCTCCAAGACCTCAGACCAGCCTCATAGACTTCTAATGGACTGTCTCTAATCGTATCTGACCTTGAGACACAGCTCCATATATTTCTAATGGACGGTCTCCAATTGTATCCAGCCTCAGGATACAGTCCCATAGACTTCTAACAGACAGCCTCTGGTTGTCTCCAGCCTTGGAACACAGCCCCTTAAACTTCTAAAGAACTGTCTCCAGCCTCGGGACACAGTGACAACATCGGGACACAGTCCCATAGACTTCTAATGGACCATCTCTGATCATCTCCAGCTTTGAGACACAACGCAATAGACTTCTAGTGGACAGTCTCCAATTGTATCCGACCTAGAGACTCAGGCCTATAGACTTCTGATAGACCAGCCTCAGGACACAGTCACAGCCTCGGGACACAGCTCCAGCTGAGACACAGCACTACAGAATTCTGACAGCGTCTCCAATCGTACCTGGCCTCTGGAAAAAGCCCCATGGACGTCTAACGGACTATCTCTGACCATCTCCAGCTTCAAGACAGAGAACCATAGACCTCTGATAGACAGTCTCCAATTGTACCCGGCTTTGAGACACAGCCCCAAAGACTTCTAATGAACTGTCTCTGACCATCTCCAGCTTCAAGACACAGCCTGATAGACTTCTGGTAGACGTCTTGAAACATATCTGGTCTCAAGACACAACCCCATAGACCTCTAATGGATAGACCCTGATCATCTCCAGCTTGAAACACAGTCTCACAGACATCTAATGTACCACCTTGAATCATCTTCAGCCTCAGGACGCAGCTCCATAGACTTCTCATGGCCTACCTCTAATAATCTCCGGTCACAGCCAAACAGACTTCAATGGGAGCAATTCCAATCATCCCTTGCCTCCAGACACAGCACCATACAATTCTAAGGGCTTGTCCCCAATAGAATCTGACCTCGGGACACAACCCCATAGGCGTCTATGGGGCACTAATACACAGATAAACAGGTATGGCCAGCACAATGAGACTTAAGGTGCTGGATGTAAACAGTGGAACTGCAGCTGTTTTAATCGAGATAAGTAAGCATCTATGAAGGGAGAGAGGGTGGGTTTGGTTAGGTCAGGCTAAAAGGGGGAGGGTAAAAAAAAAATGCAATTTGTCTTAAATTGCACTTATCCTTCATTAACAAAAAAAACAAAAACAAACAAAAAAAAAAAACTCCCAACAGCAAATGAACATTATTTTTAAGGGAAAAGGGGAGGAGTTGGGGTAATTGTCAGTTACATCAGTGCACTTACACTGCAATTATCACTGAAATCCTACTCCATGGAGTTACATCTTAAGACTACCCAATATATACTTCTCTGTCCTTCATCGAGTAAATTAAGTGCTCAAGAATAATATCTGCTCCAGCAAAACAGACTCTCACTTTCAATCAGAAGTTTCTCTGCGGGGGGTCAGTTTTCCATTCGGCAAATAGAACGCATACGGCGGCTCGTGACAGCCTGGTAAAACAATTTGTACTATAACAAAACACAGAAAGGGGGGGGGGGGGGGGGGGGGTAACCGCCGCTGCCGAACTCTGCCTACACGGAATAAAAAGATTCTGACTTGTTGTGACGGATCTGCAAGGCGATCAATAGTAACTCTCTGTAGAGAGGAAAATCCAACTTCACAAGGCCAGAAAAGCAATAAATTCCTCAATTAGTCCCGTTCTGGGGCCGCGATGATGCTTGAATTTCAACAGCCACCGGCCCAATTATCAGGCAACGTCCTGGACACGGTTGGAGTGAGGAGCTTGGGTGCTAATAGCGGTCTTGATGAAGATTGAATAGCAATTTTCCTTCCTGCAAGGCAGGATTTGATTCCTACAAAGTGGACGGCCGGACGCGGCCTCGGACAACATTCCCCCCTCCCCCCTAGCGTTACGACAGCACACAAACAGGGGATGGAGCTTGAACGCGGCCCCGGAAGTTCACGATATCAGTGGGCTCTACTTCACTGTGAAGGGCCACGGCTGTTCTGATGAGTCGGTGAGGGAGCGTCGCCGGTGCTTGAAACGCGTAACGCTATGGTGACGGCTTGACGGGCAGGAAGGGATGACTCGCTTGGTGGATTCTCCTCACAGTTGTCCTCCTTCTGGTTGACGATCTGTGCTGGACATTCAAAGTGAACGCAGTGGAACACCTGCAATCAAAAAGTTCAGATGTTATTAAACCCAAACATCATTGAAGAAATATGTCCGTCGCTCAGAATCAAAATC